CACATACCACCACACCTGGCTAATTTGTATTTTTAGTAGAGAGGGGGTTTCACTATGCCGGCCAGGCTGGTCTTGAACTCCTGGCCTCAGGTGATCCACCTGGCTTAGCTTCCCAAAGTGCTGGGACTACGGGCATGAGCCCTTGTGCTCAGCTGGGCAATGTCAGTTTCACATCTTAAGTCTTTTCCATGTGTCAGAAACTGAGAATGCTGTGCACTACAGATGCACGTGCTCATTCAGTCTTGGAAATGTCCCCATTTTATAGACCAAGAGACGAGACAGCCATCCCGTTGAAAAGCAGGCTCTCAACTCAGAGCTGCCCTGGCAGTGCATGGGAACTGGTTTTATGAGGCAGATGAACCGAATGTGCTTCTCTGTTTGAGGCAGAGCCCTGTCCCTGGGGGCCAAGCAAAGGCTAAGGAGGGACTGGAGGGGGTTGTGGGTGGGGAACTGAGGGCGTTTGGGTGAATGGAGAGCAGGCCTCGGATGATAGGCAAGGTTTGGAGAAGTGGAGGCACCCTCAGGTGACTGGGGAGAAAAGAGATGGAGGGAGAGAGAAGCCAGAAGAGACACAGGCTCTGTCCCTTGACAGCAGCTGGGACCACAGCCTGGGGATGTGTCTGTTGCTTGGCAGTGGCTGAGGATGTCTGGGTTCCTGGCACCTGGGCAGCTAGGCGTGGTTCTCAGCGTGTCAAAAGTGGATAGATGGATGAATGAGGAGACCAGGAGAGAAAGAAAACACATGCGCGCGCACACACACACACGTGCACACATACAGGCACACATACATGCACGCACAAACACACATGCAAACACGCACACACACATGGACACATGCACACACGCTCACACATGCAGACGTGCACACATATGCACCGCATGCACACATGTGCACACAAATGCAGACACACATGCACACACAGACAGGGAGAGCGATAGGGAGGGAGACAGAGGGAAAAGTAGCTCTGCAGAAACACAGATATTGATAAAGAGAAAGAAACTCACAAGGGAGGGAGATGCATATCTACTGAAAGAAAGACCAGGAGAGGAGGAGACCGAGACCACAGGAAAAGAGGGAACCAGGAAGAGAGACAGAGGAGGAGGAAAGGCTAAGAAAACCACTGAGACAGAGGCAAGGAGAGACAGTGGCAGACACAGCAGCGGAGAGAGACAGAGACGAACAGGGAAGAGAGATAGAACGAGATGGAGAGAGAGAAACGGGGGGGGCGGGGATGGGGAGAGGCCAGAGACAAAAAGGAGGACAGAGGTAAAAAGAGATGGGAGGAAAGCAAGGGAGAGAGAAGGGGGGAGGCAGAGGTGAACAGAGTTAAGAGGGAAACAGAATATGTGAGGAGCAGAGAAAGAGATGGAGAGGAACCGGAGAAAGAGAGAGAAAAGGGGGTGGGGAGAGATGGGGAGAGGCCGAGGTGAGCGAGGTGAGCGGAGACAGAGGGGGAGGGTGGGAGACAGTGAGCTGGAAAGGGGTGGGAGAAATGAGAGATGGGGAGAGAGAGATGAGGGGAGAGAGAGATGGAGAGAGGAAGAGGTGAACAGAGACAAGAGGGAGATAGAAAAGGATGGGGAAAGGAGAGAGAAACAGACTCGGACAGGGAAAAAGTATCCCTGGAGAAGCGCAGATAGGGAGAGAGAAAGAGAAACTCACGAGGGGCGGGATGGATAGCTACCAAAAGGTATATGTCACCAGATTAAAAAATAAAAAGGTATAAAGAAGGACAAGGAGAAACGTCCAGACATGGAGACAGGCAAGAGCCAAACAGAGACACAGACAAAAAGGGAGGCACAGAGAGAGAACGAGGTGGAGAGAGATGGGGAAGGAGGGGGAGAGACACGGGGAGAGGCAGAGATGAACAGAGACAAAAAGGGAGGGTCAGAGACAGAAGGACACAGAGAGATGGGGAAGGAGAGGGAGTGAGAGACACGGGAGAGGCAGAGATGAACAGAGACAGGCGGTGGGGAGAGCCGGCGGGTTGGGGCCTGGGGAGGGACCGAGCTGGAGGCGCCCGGCCGCCTGACCCCGCCGCCCGCCGCCCGCAGGTGTGGGAGGCGCTGCTGACCCTGGTCTTCTTCCCGGTGTGCGTGGTGTTCGCCTGGATGGCCGACAAGCGGCTGCTCTTCTACAAGTACGTGTACAAGCGCTACCGCACCGACCCGCGCAGCGGCATCATCATCGGCGCCGAGGGCGACCCCCCGAAGAGCATCGAGCTGGACGGCACGTTCGTGGGCGCCGCCGAGGCCCCGGGGGGCGAGCTGGGCGCGCTGGGCGCGGGCCCCGCCGAGGCGCGCGAGCTGGACGCCAGCCGCCGCGAGGTCATCCAGATCCTCAAGGACCTGAAGCAGAAGCACCCGGACAAGGACCTGGAGCAGCTGGTGGGCATCGCCAACTACTACGCGCTGCTGCACCAGCAGAAGAGCCGCGCCTTCTACCGCATCCAGGCCACGCGGCTCATGACCGGCGCGGGCAACGTGCTCCGCAGACACGCGGCCGACGCGTCGCGCAGGGCGGCCCCGGCCGAGGGCGCGGGCGAGGACGAGGACGACGGCGCCAGCCGCATCTTCTTCGAGCCCAGCCTCTACCACTGTCTGGAGAACTGCGGCTCCGTGCTGCTGTCCGTCACGTGCCAGGGCGGCGAGGGCAACAGCACCTTCTACGTGGACTACCGCACCGAGGACGGCTCGGCCAAGGCGGGCTCCGACTACGAGTACAGGTGGGAGCCGGCGGCGGGGCTGGGGGGGGGAGCCGA